AAGGAAAAAGTCTCAGATACTGTGGAGATTGCTACTCTGAAAAGTGGTACCATTGAAATTACTTTCGATTCTGTGCAGGAAATGAAATTAGTTAAGAACAAGGACCACGGTTATGTCAAATAACACTATTTAAGGACATTTTGAGAAGGGAAGGATGATAAAAGACATAAGGATAAACACATCATCCCCACTTGTGTGTGGCAACAGGGTATGATTTACAAAAGAAAAATTAAATCATCATGATTGTTAGAAGAACTGAATTGCAGCTCATGTAAAAGTTAGCCTAACCATGAAATCAACAGAGTCACAATGCAGGTATGAGACTTCTCAGGCATAAAGAATGCAACTGCTTAGGACTTTATGAGTGATAAGGCCCCCTTAGTAGAAAAGTGGGGGGAAAAAGTGGATTTCCTGCCAAATACTCCAGTATTATTGAAGTATGGAAGTATCTTTTCTCAATTATGGTTATTATATTACAGAGTGCTCAAGTACTCTGCTACTTCAGGAACTTCTATTAAACTAAAGTCTCACTCAGTGCTCTCCCATGAACCCAACATCTCTACCTGTCTTTCTCACAGATATATCTAGTCAATGTGCCCAGAGTTTTTGTCATTGTTTTCCATCCCAAATCTAGTCCTCCTCCTCAGTATCCAGTCAGTTATCCAAGCAAGAAAAAGGAGTTATTCTTTTCTCCAGAAACTTTCTGAAAGTTTGTTTACTTCCAATGGGTTATCTAGTCCCGTAACTCCTAAAAGCTTTAAAAATATGTCTCTTCCTTTCTTATTTTTACTGTGATTGCTTTTGTTCAAGTTCTTATCATCATTTGCCGAGACTACTCTCCAGAAGAGCTCGATAGACTGGTTTCCAGTCTTTTACTATTCCAAATCTTCTTTATATTGCTCTTAGTTATAATGTATTTCTTAAAAACAAAAAGCAAATGATCTCACACACCAAAACAAACAAAAAGAACAATGTGACCACATCACTCCCATACGTGCAATTTTTCAAAGGCTCTCTGTTTCCTGTAACACAAAGTTCAGAAATTTTAGCAAGTCATATTGTGACTCTCCTCTCCTTCTTTGGTCCTGTATTCTTCCTATACACCCTGTGATCTAGCTACACCACGTCTCTTGCCATTCCCCAAACATATTGTGTCTTTCATCCTGAGGGTCTCAGTGTTTTCCTCTGCCTGGAACATCCTTCATAACTTGTCAGCTGAGAATTCCTCATCCTCAACTTCTTCATCTGTATGACAAGGTGAAAATACTGCTTACTTCAGAGGGTTGTCATGAAGACTAAATAAGAAAGATGATCTTCTTCTCGTAGTGTCTGGCATACAGCAGCACTCACCAAACATTAGCTATCACTGTCACTGTTGTCATTGTCATTATCTTGTTATTTTCAAATTTGAACAAAAACATCTCCTTTGCAGAAAGTCTTCCCTGATCACCTGGAAGTCTTAGGCAACCCTCTTCTCTAAACCTGTATGCCTAATTATAATGCCATATTACATTAACTTTGAAATTGATGGAATTTTCATATTGAAGCATCTCTGATATCAGGAGACATCTCATTATCTGTGACACATCATGGTTTAATTACTAGCAATTTTTATTTCTTAGTAGTACTTGTAATAATGGTGTTTCTTGAAATAAACGGCATATTAGATGATATACTATACTTAAACTGTATGATAATTGCCATAAAAATTTGATTATTCAGGGTGGAAAACGTCTATTTAGAGTGGATAAAAAATCCTATATTTTCTATAAATAAGTGAAACATCTATGTAAAAAAAAGGACCACTATTTAGAACTCCATGACAGCCAAGAGATATCCCACTTGCGTATCCTACAACTTGGCAAAGCCCCAGCCCCTGAACCACAGAGGAGTAGCCTGATGAAGTAGCATGGCAGCATGTCCTTCAGTTAAGCTGAACAATGGCCAGACTCAGAGCAAAAGTGGGGAGGAGCTAGCTTATGAAATTGCATTCCAGTAACCCAGGATAAAAAATGGAGAAGACAGAGCAAAAAACTGAAGAGGAGAATAAAGGAATGAGATGAGACATATCAGGAACTATGCCTCTAGACTAGCACTATCCACTAGAGATATAATGTGAACCACATACCTATTTAAACATTTTCTAGGCGCCATGCTTAAAAACTAAAAGAAACAGGTAAATTATTATTAATAACATTTTATTTATTTAACCTAATGGATTTAAAATATCATTGATACTTCATTTAAATATTATCATTTAAAATATTATTATATTATCATGTAACCAACATAAAAAATCAGAAATGAAATGTTATGTGTTTTTTTGCATGAAGTCTTCAAAATTCACTGTGCATTTTACTCTTATACACCTTGGATTAGCTACATTTCAATTACTCAACAGCTGCATGCCATACATGGTGGACAGTACAGTTCTAGATTGATTTCCAACCAACTTAAATAATGAGACAACAGTAACAGGCTGATTCAACAATGGCTCTTTTGACCACACAATACTGGGCACGTTTAAGATTCCTACAGTATTATACTTTATTTATATATTTTTAAATTCTTTATAGAATGGCAATTTTTCTTTAAGTAATCTTTGTGCTTTGTTTTGGCTGATTTAGTTTTAACCACAATTTGAGGTTTGTTCTAATGCCTCATATTCCCTTCACTATGTTGGTTAAAGGAGAGCTGACTCCTTTATTCAGTTCCCTCTTTTCCTAACAGGATAGTCCTGGGGGAGGGCCAAGCATTTATCACAGTGCCCAAGGTAGAGCAAGCTCTGAATAAGCATCTTTGAATACACATTGAAAGGTGAATTAAGCTAGACAATAGGGGTTTTCAACCTGAGCTACACACTGACATCCCCTGGGGAGTAAAAAAAAAAGAAAAAGAAAAAAAGCTGATGCCTGATTCCATCCCCAGTGACCCAGTGAGGCTGGTGGTAGGTCTGGAGTTTGGCCTGGGTGTCAAAATTTTAAAAATCTCCCCTAGGTGATTCCAGTGTGCAGCCAGGGTTGAGAAACGCTGTTCTGGGGCTTTCTTAGAACATCTTTCCATGGCTGCTCCCTTGCCTCCCTGACATGAGGTTCACTTTGCCTTAATTCTCTCTCTCAGAACAGACCAGATGTTTGAGACCTAGCAGAGGAGAAACTAACACAAAACCCCAAAAAGAATTTGGAAATTCCTTCTCCTAGGCACCGAAGAAGATATTCAAGTTCTAAATCTATTCATGTTTATTTTTTTCCAACAAAACTAATAAAAGTCACAATTTAAGTTTTAAGATGCTAGCTGGTTTAAGGAGAAAGGGTTAAGACCACTATAGCATATAAGCATAAAATACCCAGATGTACACATTGTAGAATTTTCTAGATCTAGAATAATAGCAATTAAAAATAAAAATGAAATCTAAGTACATATGAGCCTCATTTCAAGTTAATTCCATAGATGTCAAAAGCAGACATTATTAATTGGGGGTCAGCAAAGGAAAATATTTCATGCTTTTCTTCAGGTTATATTTACATGGCATAATCATAAAGCAATGCATCTATTTTGATAAGTCACATATAAAACCCACCTAATTTTAGTCACATAACACGTAAGTGTTGGTATCACTGTTGCTCTCAAGATGGCATTTTGCTTGATGGCATTACTTCTACCATGTATGAGGTTCAGCAGTGGCCAAGAGAGAACTGTGACTTCTACTTCAACACAGACAAGTTCCGCCAAGGAGAGGGAAGTAAGCTCCACACCAAGGGAGTAGCTGGAATGGAGTTCCTCTGACTCATGGACTAAGAATTTCCCTGCCAACTCCTGAGATGGTTTGGCCATACTGTACAGATTCGCCCTCCTTAATGGTCTTTTCCTGGTGGTGTGGAATCATGTGGCATTTTTAATAAATAGAAACAGCATGTTGATATATCCCCAGAGGTTCCTACGTGCATTTCCTCTGGCTTTCTAGCAAACACAAAAGCTCCCTCCAACTATCCCACACTTATTTTTTCTCTTTATTGAGATATAACTGGCAGATAACATTATATTAGTTTAAGGTGTACAATGTAATGATTTGATATTTCTATATGTTGTGAAATGATCACCATAATGTCTAGATAACATCTGTCACCACATAGTTACAATTTTTTCTTGTGATAAGAATTTTTAAGATCTACTCTGTTAGCGACTTTCAAATATACAACATAATATTATTAACTCTAGTTAACATGCTGTACCTGACATCCCCAGGACTTATTTATTTATAATCGGAAGTTGTGCCCCACACTTCTTTTCTGTTTCACATCTTAAGTTGAATTTGAGAAATTGGATTAAGAAATATCCAAAAGGCATTAAACTTCCACATTCACTAACAGCGATCCACAAAAGTTCCCTAATCCTGCCAAAATCATGGAGGAAAAAACATAACTTGGTAGGCTTTCTAAGTAAGTACTGGGACTTGTACATATCACTTCTTTCTAATCCCAAAGGGCTGATGGGTGCCAAGTGATTGGATGAGTGGCATTCACCTGGCCCCAATTTTCCTTTCTGAAAAGCAATGAAAAATATAACACAAGTTTCCAAATTGCTATATTCATAAAGCCAGGAAGATAATCACCATCCATCTGTCCAGACCCACTGCAAATCTGAAATGCACTGAAATGACTGTATAAGCTTTGCATGTACATCATTTGTCAGTTAACATGTACTAAGGATCCTCTTGGGTTCAATGAAGAGACAAAATAAAAAAGTCTTCTCACCAAAGTTTACAAAAACAGGAGTACTGTTAAAAAAATTAATATTAAAACATTTTTGAAAGATGATATAAAAATTATAGGGCAACCACTACATGGAGTATGTAAGCACCATGGGAAGATGAACTAATGCAATCTTTGGGACTGCCAGCGGTCCACCAGGACGCATGGGATCAGTAGGCCTCTGAGAACGGTTGTGGAATAAAGGATGTCTCAGAGTGTCATGTATGTGCAGCTGACACAGCTTCCTACCTTTCTGGAAGAACTCTTCTAGTTTGTCCTTGAAAGGCTGAAGATACTCCTTTGGCGATTCCTTGCACACCACCACCATCTGTTTCTCACTTGCTGTGAAGAGAAGTTTGGAATTAGACTTCCCATGAACATGTATTTGCTGAGCCTATGCTCTGAGCTATGCACTTGGTTATTAATTGTGCAAAATATTAATCAATCACTGTTTATCCAAATTCAAAGGGGACAGGGCAAAAACAGAAACAACACAAATGAATAAACAAAAGTAATTAGTTCACTTTACACCTTTCTTCGGGAACAGGAAAATGTATCACCTTCCACTTTCCTTTCAGAGATGCAGTAAAACCTCTGACTTGGGACAGGTGAAGTACTCTGCTTTTGGTCTCCCGAAAATAGAGAGAGGCAAAAACTACTGAAGGACTAGTCCCAGGGATTTAATGGCCCCGGCCCTCTTTAGATCATACTCCACAAGGTGAGTATGAAATAGATTTTGCAGCAATTCCCAGGCACTCAAGTCACCTGGAACCACCAAACTGGCAATTCTTCGGGGTGACGCCAATATCTAAGCATGAGAACTAAGCCCAGGTTAGGGAGGACTGCCTCTCTCTTCATGCTTCCCATCACCTACCTTTTCCATTAATATTCCACTAACATATGTGACATCATTTTATATGTGATATAATTCATAGAGATGAGAGAAAACTTAACAAGCCTCAAAGTTATTCATAGAGATGAGAGAAATCATTTTTATTCCAGAAAAAATATCTGGAATTTAAAATAGATCACTTTTTGATAATCAAGTCCCCTCAAATTAGAGTTCTGGCTTGGTGATATGGAAACCACAATAATCCATAGTTCACTATTACAAAAGGCAGTTGACCCAGGCAAGAGGCACTTCCCCAAGCTTTCTACATGTCTGTGCCAGTGGCAGAAATGCACTGGGAAGAGAACGGCTTCATTTTCCCAAAGCTAGAACTAAGTCATGATCATTTTGGTGTGTTGAACATGGCCAGGAATTACTGAGATGTTCTTGTCCAAGAGAACATATTAAAGGCTTGGATATTCACCATAAAGAAATCATGCCACCTATTTTGAAAAATAAAGAAACCTATATTCCCTATCTTGGAGGAATTTAAAAAGCACAAGGTAGGCATTTAGAAGAAGAGAGTTAGAAAGGGGGCCTTTATTTGTGTTGGGAAACTCATATCCAATCATTTGATGTTTTGAAAATTAGCAACCCAGAATGATTCCTATGTAAGCAAAGCAACAAACCTGTCAGCACTGACACACAGAAAATGCAAAAGAGACCGGCCACTCAAGTGTCCCCTGAAACTAGTTACCAGACACTTTTCTCTTGCAATATTGCCAACTAGATTGCTGAAATCCTAGACAACTCTGGGAGACTATATAATTGTGCTGAAGATGATAGTATGACGTGAGGGAACTGTGCCATTTTTTGAGTCGAGTTCGGAATCAGCTACATTCTCAGAGGCATCTACCGGGAGGTCATGAGGAGAATCACGGGAGGGGCCTAAATTTGGGCTCTGTGTATTGACATTGTTCCTTTCTAAGAGTTTTTAACAGAGTTTATTTTAAATATCTGTGATTAGCTATTCTGATAAGCATAACTATGCTGTCTATGAAACCCTGTCCATCGGAATGCAAAAACTTTTTCTTAATGATCTATCTCACTGAAGAAATACAAATCTTACCTGGAACAAATGGGAAACAAATTCTATAAAACCAGTCAAACCATTATTTCAAAATACTCCCTTTCTTCACATTTTCACCTCTCTTTCTCAGCTTATTTATTCTCTCTACAATTACTACTTAATAACTTCTCTCCTATTATCAGGTTTCTCTTTACCTCTTCCTGAGTAGATGGGCCTGTGGCCAAATGATAAGTATCTCCTGCCCACCACTCTTCTCTTCTCAATATAGTGGTGCCTTGGGCTGAAGTGGTATCAGAGAGAGAAAGAAATGGACAGAGTAGATGGAGCTGGAATATAATTTGGAGGCAGAACAAATAGGTCTTGCTGATGATGTTAATACAGGGTTGAGGAAGAGGAAAAGATGAGCAATGTGTGGCTGGAAGTGCCATGTACTGAGATGGGGAATAGTGGAAAGAGTTATCATTTTGGTTTGCTCTTGTTTTGTTTTATTTTGTTTTCAGGGAAAGGAGACCAAGTTAACTCTGAGGCTTGTTAAGTTTTCTCTCATCTCTATGAATTACAAGGCAAGACTGTCCACTGAAAACAAAGGGGAAAAAGTATAAAACAAAATAAAAGTATTGATGGGTTCTCACTGCTAATTCAATCATATTTCAACTCCCAGGCCTGGGATTTAAGGTCTTTTCCATTTTGGTACCATTCTACCTTCCAGCTCTATTTCCCATATATATTTGACCAACCTAACCAAAATTATTTCCAAATTACATGAACCAGAGGTCCCAGTTCTATATCGTCATCCATGTGGTTCTCTACCCATTCTGCTATCATCCCATACATACTTTCCACTGCATTTGACAAAGTCTGTTCATCCTAAAGAAAAAGTCCCACCATAAAGCCTTTTCCAATCTTAAGTTTTCGCATCTTTGAAACATCTATAGAGTATTTATGTTTTACCTTTAATTATATTTATTTTTATACTTATATTAATCCCTGCAAATCATCTTGCAGGTTTCATTTACTCATCCTCAAACTTCTCCAGATAGCTCCATGCACATCTTGTCAAAGCATAAGATTTCTTCACCTTAACTAGAGTCTTATGTGGATGAAAGTTGAAAAAAATTAGCAATGTTGACCCAGACTCAAAGTGGGCCTCCTCATCTCTTTCCTCCCTTTCCAGGAGAGGTGCACCACAGGGTTTCGGTCTCTTGACTCTATGAACACTGTGCTTGTCCCGAGCTGATTTGAAGGGCTCTGTGTCTTTAAAGATCCCCCAGAACATCCATCACTTCATGCTTTAAGGTAGCAAATCATTCTCCTGATTGAGTAGTTCCAAGAAGCAAAGGCATAGCAGAAGACTGGTCAGTTGGAAGATGTCTGCTTTCAAGAATCAGCATTTTTCAATAAACTTTCATGGCCACATAAACTTTTCTGATGTTAGCCATCTGTGATTCTGAGAACACAGGTAGCCATATTTAAAGAAAAGCCAGAATTTCTCATAATATAAATCGGAAGTCTTTAAAATTATTTAACTAGCTCTCTACTACATTCAAATGCCAACAATTTCATTTACAGAGAACTATTTTTCATGAACACAAATAATACATGGTAAAGCATGCAGGCATTTTGGTAATAGGGCATAATTGAAGACATGACAGTAACTTCTCCCTAGCAAAAGCAATGCTGAAAGTAGAGCTTCTCTACTCAATTACAAAAGCAAAACCTCTACTTTTGCTTGAATTAAAGGGGTGGATGATTGTGGCTAACCCTTTGTCCTGGCTATGGTGGCAGAGCCCATGGGGTCCATCAAAGTGCTCAGATTTTATGAGGCCATATAGGAGTATGGTAAAGGGCTTGTACTTGGATCAAGACCTATCTGGCCTCAGGTGGGCTGTGGTTTTTCTCATCTGCAAAATGGGGACCACCGCATAGGCATAATACGAGAATTAAGTGAGATAATGCATGTAAAGTGGTTTATAGAATGACTGGCATTAACAAGTGGCCTCGTATTGTCATTTTTATGATTTAGTAAAATTAGTCAGGAAACGTGTCACAATCAGAACGGCAAGAGTCATAGCTGGGCATCAGTCGCTACAAATGCTGTGCACCATATTTACAAAAATATGGCCCGGTGCAAATCTCCTTTTTGGAACATAGGGTTTCGTTTCCTCACCAAAGTTCCACAACCCATTGTAAGAATTCACTGAGGAGACTCCTGGGGAAGATGAAGCTAAATGTGAAACAAGTGCCCTAGGCCTCTGAGCATTATGGTTCTGAAATTAGAAACTGAATCCGGTACAAATGAGAGCAGCTCACCTGCTGTGCTCACAGGCCCTCTCTGCACCCCAGTGGGCCCAGCCTCCCATGTGGCCTATTAGAATTAAACTTGTCCATACAGTGAAAGCCCAGGGCTGCCCCTGACCGCCTCAACACAGTCGCGGTCCAGCTCCTTAACTTGCCTTGTCTGAGATGTTTTCCAGCAGACAAATGGGAGATCTGAAGACTAATTAATGATAACACTGGAGACTGGCAGTACATAAAGGAGAGAGGTCACTGACAAATCCACAAATGTCGTTTATTGTCCACCCACAAGACATGTATACAACATTGCTAGACCACCAAGGTTGACTCAGACACAGGCTGTGCCAGGAGTTTTGATGTTAAAAGCCTAAGTCACCCCAGATTCTCTTTATTTTTCTCTTTCTATAAGTTTTTGATAGAATTAAATATATTAATTCCTGAAGTTAGCTACTAAGTTATCATTATGAGAGAGAGAGAGATTAAATGTTGAGAACCAGTACATAATGAAACAATAGACACTAAATTGAGAGTTTTCTCATTTAAAAGTTAAATGCTAAGAACCATGATAATGAAAGAAAAGATACAGCCATGAATGTTTTAAGATTTCAGATATTAGACTGTTAAGGCCATAGGTGGTTTCTGTTATTTTGTTTTTGACCCCTAAGAAATAAAATTCATTGAGTCACTTAAAAAGCATGGATAGATTAGAAGGATATGGAGCCAAGGCCCAGATAGAATGACTCAAAACCTAATACATGTTTAATGATCTTAACAGATCAAATGTACATGGGTTATTTTTTAGGAAAATATGGAACATGTCTCTCTCTATGAGTTGAAGGACTTATGGATTTAGTAATCAAGTCGGAATATATTTTTAGAGGAAAGGAAAGATTTATCTAGACTCTGTGTTTTAAACCTGGAATTCCTTCTTCTCTCTTTACCCATTCCTATCCCACCCTTCTATGGTTTTGTGCTGGTTTTACGTCTCCTTCATTTTTACAAGGTCTCTGTCCCTTCCATGAGTTCCATGCTCAAAGGATCATCGTAAAGGATTGTTGCAACAACGTATAGAACAGTTTAACTAAGGCAAAGATTATGTCAATGGGGTTTAAGTGAGAGATACAAATC